GTCCCTGTCGCCGGCTGCCCCCCACCCTGCTCTTCCTACCCAAAGAGCCACCTGCCTTTACCTTCCACAGGGGAACTAAGCCTCCAGCAAGAGTTTCAGACCCAGAGTTTGGGCTTTTTAGAGCCAGCACAGGCTGTGGAGAGCCCTGAAGATGTAACAGTGCCAGGACCAAAAGAACTCATGTTGCCCGTTTCCTGCAGACCCGTGATTTGTGCTCCTGCGCGGGCTCGGGGATGTCTTGTAAGAGGTTGGGTGGTAGTAGGATGGGAACGGGAGCTTTCCCCTGGTTACACCTTCATGGATCTCACAGGAACATAATTCTTGGTGGTTCCTCTGTCCCCGTGTCAGGTCAGCCACGGGGAAATTAGCCAAGAGGTCACACTCCGATAGCAGGGACAGGACACGAACCCCCCGCACATTGGCCATGTTTCTTCAGGAAATGCAATTCCACCTTTTTCTGGGGAGAGGGGGAAACCTCAAGTGAAGTTCGTAACACTTTTCTCACAGACAACCAGTAGCCAGGAGGAAAGCTGTGGTCAGGCCAAGCGCATGCGTGCTCAAATGACAGCGCAGTGGTGGTAACATATGTGGAGAAAACCCACCCAATTCAGGGCTGTTGAGGCCACAGAAAGAAGCATGTGAATGAATCGAGCCAGTTGTGGTTCTGGGAAAGCGATCGCTTGCCTGCTCTTTGGACAGCGTAACAACATCCTGGCCTGCAGAGCGGCCGAACCTCCCCACCCCGTGGGCGCTGCGAAGGGAGCAAAGACCCAGCAGACATCGCCTCTACCCTGCCTTGTGCCCAGGTGCTCTGGGGTGGTGGGCTCCAGTAGTCTTTTATTCCAGTCTGCCCCCCGCCATAATTCAGCAGCCCCCCAAAAGCAGATCCATTTCCCCTGATGGGGAGAAGAGATAGCAGTGGAGACAGCAAAGGGTGCTGGTGGGGATGACCTGCCCATGAAGATTCAGGCATTTCAGACATCAGTGCAAACTTGAGGCAGAGACCTCCTCTCCTGGCCTGAACAGCTCTGTCCCATGCTGCATTAAGTCTACTGAGCATTGAAATTTGGCCAAAGGGTGGAAAGGCTTTATGATCTCCCTTCTCCCACTGGAGAAAAGTCCAGTCCCGTGGGAGGCAGCTACTTGTGCAAGAGCCACGACCATGTGGCTGGGCTGGCCGAGACACCACGTTGGAGCCTGATCCTCCAGGTTTGCAGTACCCTTTGCATTAGCGCAGTCCTGCAGCCACAGCTCTGCCAAGGTGGCTGGCAGCCCTCAGGATGGAGATCAGACAAACCATGGCTTTTTTTTTTTTTTTTAAAGAAAAGAAGGCCAGTTTCTCAGCTGAGAACTGGAATTATTTACTGTTTGCTTTTTTTCCACCCCCCTATGAGTATGGCACAGCAGCCTACCCTGAGGGCAGACAGCAGCTGGTCCCTCAGGGAGGATGTGGGGATGCCTTCTCCTCAGGCTGACAGAGATGAAGTGTTGTAGGACGACTTCTTCAGGGTCTCCAGGAAGAACTGCTCATCTTCCAAGAAATCACGATCCTGAAAATAGAGGAGAAAGGATGGGAGGGGTGCCACAGAGCACCTGGGAAACGGTCCCAGGCTGGGGTGTCACCCAGGGGTGAGGGACAAATCCCAAGCCCTCTCTCACACAGCAAGCATAAGCATGAGGACAGCTACCCAGCCACGGTCCCTGGGAGGGCTTGTCTAGGGCCTCCCACTCAAAGCCCATAAGCTTGCGCTTTGAGTGAGACCCACGGAAAAAGCCTCAGACAACCTGCTTGCCTGGGGAAGGACCCAGCAGGGACACAGAGGGCTGATGGAGAGGGAAGCTAATGGGAGAGGATGGAGACATTAATGAAGGCAGAGTCCAGGAGAGCTGATGTTTCCCACTGAGAGATGGGGTGAGGCGCTACCCCAGCTAGACAAGGACACTATCAGCGAGTCTGAGACAAGTGGTGAGCACTCACTAGTCCTTGCTTCTGGTATCACTCAACCATCTGTAGGTACAGCAGAGAAATGTGGAGCCGTTGCCTGCTGCAAGCCCTCCCCAGCCCAGCACGGATTCATAGCTCAGCAATGATCTTAGAAGACACCCCATGCTCTGGCTGTCAGGCCTGAATCTGGCTTCTTGCAATCCTGCTGTCTCTTGGGTGGTTTGAAATCCCTGTCTGCCCCAATCTTCCTACTGGCTCACCTGTTCAGCCCTGTGCTTCAGCAGCAGCAATTTGGCATAGAGCTCCGACGGGCCTGCCGTGCCCAGGCTGTCCCTGCTACTGCCTGGGTTGTGCCGGGGGAATGCCGTGATGGGAGGTGGAAAGCCTGGAATGAGAGCTTGAGCATGCAGCAACGCTGCCATCAGAAAAACACGGACACACTGGAGCATCCTTGTTTTGCTGTCTACATGCCACTGCAGTGGAGTCCCTCCCAACCTCCTGGAGCAGATGGGCTTTAAGCTACCCACCTTGCCCCTCCCAGCGCCCTGTACCTCATCCTGGCATTGCCCTGGCTTGGAGAGCTCAACTGCACAACCCCTTGTGAGAGTGGAGAGGCCAACGCCAAAACAGCTCTGAGGTTTGTTTATGGGGGAACTAAAACAGCCCCCAGAAATGTCCCAACCCTCCTGAGGAGTGAAATGAGAGCGTGCTTGCTCCATGGCTTGCTCCTTGCCATCAGCAGTGTGCGGGAGCCCTTACACAGCGTGCCGGAGAGGCCCTTGGTGGGGGCGCTGATGTCCTGGGCCGTGGTGGGGTTGTTCGGCAGCTCCTCGCGTAGCTGCTGGAGCTGACTTCTCTGGAGAGCCATGCTCAGCCGCTCCTGCTCTGATCCCAGGAGAAAGGGAGAGAGAGAGAGAGGCCCTTGGTAAATGTTCAGGCCCTCAGCATGGCGGCCCAAGGCTGAGAAAGGAAGATGAAGGGAGGATTGCCTGCTGCAGATGCTGTTCCTGCTGCTTCAGCTGCTCCAGGTGCTGCTGCATGACCTGCAGTCTGGCCTGGTGCTCGGACTCCACCCTGCGGGCTTCCCGCAGTGCTCGCTCTCCTTCCTCACACTTCTGGGATGAGAGCTGCAAGGCAGAGCAGCTGGGGAGGAGGGGGACCGAGACCCTCGCTGACCCGGCGCAGGTGCCAAGGCTCCTTCGTTCACTCCCTTATTCCCCTTTTGAGCTGCCCCAGCTCCACGCTCTCTCTACTGGTACCATCCCAGCAAGAGGTGCCCCTAGGGGGTCTGTGCCTGTCCCCTGCACCTTCCCTGCTGCAAATGCATCAAGTCACACAGGTTTCCACAGGGGATGAGGATGATGCAGCCAATGCCACCATTGTCACCTCCTCTGGTACCTCTGTGTCAACAGGGATCAGAGCTCCCTACCAGGGAGGAATCGCTGTCGTGTGGCACCACTGGGGATGGCAGCACTGTCCCTTGTCCTTAGTCACACACGCACCAGCAGCAAAGCTGGGGTTTCACACCCCCCTGAGGTTGTGGATCCTAAGCCAGGGCTGTCCCAGGCACAGCTGCGCCCCACAGAGCTGCAAGCTGCAGCCTGGTTTCTCCTGCTTACCTTGCTCATGGTTTCGATCTCCTCCACTCGCTGCCGGATGCGCAGCGCGGCCCCGTTCACCTTCTCCTTCTCCAGCCTCAGCTCCTGCCAGGCCTGGTCCAGCAGCTCCCTGTCCCTTGCCAGCTGCTCCTCCTTGGCTTTCAGCTCGCTGCCCCGGATCTTCAGCTCTGCCTGCTCCTAGGGCGAGCAGAGGGGCAAGAGATGCGTTACCTGCCCTGTCCCAGCAGCTATCCCACATCCTCCCTAGCGATGGGAGGAATCTGGCCCCGCTGAGCTCCTGGTGCTAACAGGCTGGGTTTGGGGTGCAGAGCAACACCACCAGGTATTCAAGAAGTGCCCCCATCCACCCTGCCACGGGGACCAAGGCTTGGCGGAGCTGAGGGTGTACAGACACACACGCGCACCTGGAAAGCGATCTCCTCACCACATTGCACACCCTAAAACACGCTCAAGCCACAGCAGTGGAAGTATTCAGCCTCGATGGTTACCTGACTTTGGACATTCACCACAGAGGCAGCAGTGCCTGGTCTGGCTGCCCAAACTCCTCACAGCCAAGGGGGAAGAGACAGCTGTGACTGATGCTAAAAGTCAGCATCTAAAAGAGGCCAAGGGAGCTGCCCTTGGAATGGCTTTTTTTCTCACCACTGGCCCCATATGATGTCTCCATTTTAAACAGCTGAAGCCAGGTCTGAATCTCTGCTTGCAAGCAGGGCCCACCAGGGAGCCCAGCTGCCTGCCCAGCCGTGCTGGACCCTGCAGGCAGGGCTCTGCTGTGGTACCTTGGCGAGGCTCATGATGGTGCCCTCTCTTTGGGAGTCCCTCTGCAGGGCCCAGTCCATGTCACGCTCCAGCCGTTCCTTGCTCAGCTGCTGCCGGGTGTGAAACTCGGCCCACTCGGCCGCCAGCTTCCGGCGCTCCTCCGAGCACTTCTGCATCACCGACTTCTGCTCTTCCAGCAACGCACTCTGGGAGAGCGATACAAGAGAGAGCAAGAGCCCTGAGCCCCGTGGTCACAGGATTTTCTCCTCTGACCTATCTCTGCCACTAAACCCCGTTAAGCATCTACAGTCTAGTCAAGTCTGTGGCGCCAGGTGTGAGCCCTACATGGGGAACTCAGGCTTCATGCGCCTCGGCAGCCGGTGTGCACCGTGCACATATGCGGCAGCCTCTTGCACTTGCGTGCCAGATGGTTGGTCTGATCCATGATTCATCAAGTGACCGAGCGTGGGATTGAGGAGGCAGAGGATGGAACGGAGCAGAGGGATGGTCCAGCCCAGCATCTAGCTCTTTCCTCCACCATGCACTGCAGTGCAGCTCTGGTCCGACTCGCGAAACATCCGAATAGTGCCTGGAGATGTCCACGTCTCACCTTTGCCCTCTCCAGCTCTGCCCGCTCCATGGAGAGCTGCTGGGTCATGACTCTCCGTTGCTCCTCCAGTGAGCGCTGCAGCGATTCCACCTTGGATTGCTCTGCTGTTGCCCTCCACCGCTCCTGGGCCCGGAGGCAGAGGGGAGATGGACACAACTCATGGGCTCCAGGTGAGACCCGAGATCTTCAACCTGCCCCATTTCCAGCCTGCCTGCACAAAGGACAGTCCCACATTGGGTGTGGAGCCAGCACAGGCAGAGGATGCCGCACAGGCTCACCTGCTCCAGCAGCCGAGCCTGCTCGCCCA